GTTATATGGACGTCAAATATCGTGCGGTATTAAACTTTACTGATAATCTGACATCCACATATAGAAATATAACAAAATTCAAAAATATGGACGTCAAATATCATTCAGTATGAATGTTTTAGGATATTCGGCCGTCCATATTATTATGTGTACACAGGTAGTAATTTAAAGTTAAAATTAGGCACACAGTGCCCCAAACACCGCTACAAACGGCAACATTTATCAAAAAAGAAGTAAGAAAGGTTTTCTAAGCGTTTAATCGTTTTTACAATGGAGCATTTTATGAAACACCAAAGTGACTATTTCATACCGCATGGGCTCCCCACACTAAAATAAAAATAAAACAATAGCGAAAAATGTCATTAAAGTAATGACCATTAATGTGTGTCTTATACACAAGAAATTAAAATATAAATATATTCATGGTTATATGGACGTCAAATATCGTACGGTATGAAACTTTACCGATAATCTGACGTCCACATATAGAAATATAACAAAATTCAAAAATATGGACCTCAGATATCATTCAGTATGAATGCTTTAAGATATTCGCTCGTCTATATTATTATATGTAGCTAAATTTAAGGACACGAAAACAAATTGGAAAGTAAAATTATCTACTAGCACTGAGTACAGTATATACCGACACAAAATACTAAAATATGCCTTGAGCACTAAATAAATAACTAAAATAAATAAATAGTAAAATGCAATAATCAACAATAACTTTGGACATTGGATATCGAAGAAGTGGACATCAAATAAAACTTAGTGTGTATATTTTAGGATATTCTTACGTCCGTATATGGGTAAATACTCCGTTCAATGTCCATGTCAAGTACATTAATCAACTTACACAAGTTTATTTACCCAAGTTACTAAATATAACCAAAGAAACTTAAATGCAAGCAAGCATAAGCGTGGAAAGTTCTCAATGTGCGTAGGTCACAATACGGACGCCAATTAGAGCACAATATGCATGTTTTTAGAAATATAGCGTGCAATTTTTACAACAACAAACACAAACAAATTGTATTTCAATTAACTGCAAAACCAAACATAATATCATAATTTAACAAAAATAGCCTTTCATAAAAATGAATCTCGTTAAGTAGAGAGTAATTTTGTACAGATTAGGTAAATAATTCGCACTCATCCATAAGATAGTGATCATAAAACGCAAACTCGCAGTGAGAGCACCAAAACTCAATACGAGCAAGTATGTAAATAAATTATATTTTCGGAGTTATTCATGTCAGTAACAATACGCCACAGAAATTAACAAACTGTCAATGTCTACAATTAGTACTTATTTACAATAGTAAAATAAATAATAATATAGTCAATCTATAATGTATCACGGCTGGGCAATCCTAGATATTTTTTCGTATCTAGTAAACGAATAACTAGTTGGTAAATTAATAATGATATCTATCTATTTTTTTTCGCTGGAGACAAAAATGATAGTGCGTATTTTTCGTAACTGCACATTCTGTGGATTTATTTCATTATTTTGAACAATATACGAAACTTAAGTGACTAAAATTAAATCTAAACTGAACCAGAATCATAAAAACTATTATTCGTGCTAAACGAATCTACCTAATAAAGATCTGTTAGTTTTATCTCCTCCGAAAAAAAAAAAACTATAGGAATCTATCGAGTACCTAGGTACATAAACAAAATATCACATATAAATAAAATATTACAAAGCGGAATAACTAATAAGAGTGGCAACGTCGCACCACACAAAGGAATTGCGTTAAGCAGGAGAATGAATTAAAAACTATGTATATTACGGGGATTACGGATATTAGTAATATGGAAGGGAGTCCTGATTGGTTTCCCTTCGTCTGGCAATATACGAATATTTGTATATAGACATATGATAAATTTTCAAAGAAATAAGTTAAACACTATCCTTGAAATTATTTAGTGGACCAATATTCGCTGTCATAATGCATAAAATTGCCTACAAGTGGTGAACGCTACAATAATGCGAAATGAAAGGACTTAGGGTTAATATTGTGATATATATATATATATATATATATATATATACATATATATATATATATACATATATATATATATATATATATATATACATACATATATATATATATATATATATATATATATATATATATATATATATATATATATATATATATATATATTGTTAAATTTTCATGAGTTATTTTATTTATGAACAAAAACAAATAAAATTGCAAATAATAGGCAAACATGAAGGTGTATGAAGTTATTCTTCTCTACCGACGCCACATGTATAGTTAGCAGCATAGTTTAATTTACAGTACCGTAACGCACAAGCCACTTACACTGCTATATCTATTATATTATCACGAGAATCACTCGGGACATCGTCTATCACAGGATCTAATATTTTTCTAGCAAAAAATTTGCTGAACCCACATCTTTCTCGGAACATTTCCACATAGTTATCCATGTCGTCTTCATCGAAATAATCAACAATATCAATTATATCCACGTTAAATAAAAATACTGAACTGGCGGATATATAGGTTAGACGCTAGTTAAACAAGGGTTTGCGGCTGTTTAACTTTAAACAACGTCTAAGCCATGTCCATCCATAAACCACCGTTAAACACTCTTTTATAGTAACCAATTTGCTAAACACATGTTGAACAGATGTCTAACTTTTTTGTAGTATGACAGTTTAGGTTTTACGCAAGCTTTTTAAAGTTGAAGTTTTTGTCTTTGGGACAGTTTACACTTGCTGTTAACTTTTTCGGTCGCGGACAGAGCGAATATGTGTCGAGAAAATCATGCCGTGGTCGAATATGACTATGTTTTATTGCACCCAAGTTTAATTTGTTTAACAATACTAAAGTGGCATGCTAGCTAATGCTCGTCATAAATGCCACTATACGCAAGCAACCCGCGTTCAATTCGAGCCGGCACCAATGAAATTGTATTTAAAATTTTTAATACCGTTCTGGATCAATCCCTGGTCGGTCGCTTACTGTAAAATTTATAGCAAGTACTTATCCCGCGAGTACGCAAATATGGCTGAAAAGTATTAGACGAATGTATTATATATGTGTTCGAGTTTCGCCTTGCAATTCGCATCACAATTTGTGCGAATGTGTAAATACTGATAAAAGTTTTTATGAGTTAGTTAAGTCTTAATGTCCTTTTTCTTAGGAATTGTCAGTAAAGCTTATCGGAAAACTTGATAAGTGTTACTTTGGGAAGTCCAAGTTAAATATAAAAAGCTTTTGACTTATCAGCAGCTTCAAGTAAAATATTACGTACTTATGTGTATACATAACGTATTTTTATCTATATATTATTAAATATATGTTATGTAATGTATAATAAATTGTACGCCAACAGATTAGGAAGCCGAATGGGCGAAAGGTTCTCGAGTATCAGTCTTGGAACGGTAAGTGAAAAGTAGGCCAACTTCTACTCACTATATAAAACACAGCTTCATAAAGCTGCTGTTTTACATTGATATCCTGTTAGAGCGTGGTCATTTCCTAGTCGAGCCAACTTACTCTTGTTGGAACCTTAACATGGTTTTGAATAAATATATATATATATATATATATATATATATATATATATATATATATATATATATATATATATATATATATATATATATATATATATATATATATATATATATATATATATATATATGAATTTTTTCGCGGTTAATTAACTCTTAAAAGTCCCAGGTCTCCATTTGGATCCTTAAATGTCTCCTTGTAGACCGCGCCATAGAGTATACTAATATTTAGAGGGACGCCATAGAACCAAATAGTATATGATCACTAAGTTTAAGCGAAACCATAAATAAGAGTGCTCAGGACGATTCTTTTTTAAATGTTATTTATAAGAATATAATTCTTAAATTCTTGAAGAATTATATTCTTATAAATAACATTTAAAAAGAATTATATTATTATATAGTTCACATATAAACTTAAAAACTTTGTAATATTAAGTTGCTGAAAGACACGCTGTAGTTAAAAAATTATATGCGTGTTATGATATTCAGTGGAATCTCTATAACTCGAACCTCGTTAAATCGAAATCCTCGTATTATTAGACTTTGTAACTCAAACAAAATGTTATTTCCCTACGAAGTATTGATAATATATATTTATACTCTATAACTCGAATTTCAAAAAGGAGAATCCGTAAGTCGTAGTTAGTAAACAATAATGACGTCTTACTTGGCTTAATTCACCGAAATAATAGCAATAAAATCCGGGTTCTTAATCGTAAAGGAGCTGCCGTGTCACCTGCCGAGCTCGGCCGACGCTCGCGATATTTATTTATTTATTTATTAGGATTACCAACAGAAATTACAATAGTAATACAAAAATCATTTTCATAACATATTAAGCACAATATAATTGTATTTCTTTTTTATAGGTAATCACAACATGCATTGATTATTTAGTGAATGATAGGATTAAAAAAAACTTGGACTACATCATTGAATAAATAAGTTATTAAAAAGAAATAGAATTATTTAACAATATTATAGATAACTTCATTATCATATTAAATTACATTAACCACATTATAGAAAACAATATATATATATATATATATATATATATATATATCGATACCTCCCACGTAAGTTGTTGTATGCCACAAAAATGGCGTTTGGCGTTTTTACAAAAAAACTATCCTAATTTGCATTATTTAATGCATTCAAAGTGAAAAAAAAACAAAATACGATTTTTCAAGGATTTGCCAGACGTATAATGTTGTAACTTTCAAACGAGAACGGACTACAGCATTGTATAGACCTTTACAATAGCTTACGCGGGGTGCAGGGCGGGGAGAATCACGCGCCCGCGTCTCGTATTTGTCACATACAACAGACCACTCCGGACTTTCAACCGGCCGCACGCATGATGTAGGAACCGTTTAAGTTTTTTCAAAAATAACTTTATACGTAATTGAATTACTTCAAATATATAACAATGAATCGTACAAGGATAATAACAAGAGGACGAAGACTATGTGATATGGTCAATAGTACGAGTAAACAAAATAGAAACTCCGAGACACCCATTGAAAATAACAATGTTTCATTAGATGAAATAGAACTAAACAGCTTTCGTGATTCAAGTCTCCGAAATATCACAGGTATATGTTTCTTTTTGTAATATTTTATTAGCATTAATAAGGTTAATGTTACTTTTTTTGTCGTGATACCAACCTAAAATTTTGTATAGGTTACTTACAACAGTATACGTCGTTGAGCGTTCATAAAAAATGTTGTATGTAATACATATAACATTTTACGTTTACATTTAAATAAAAATATTGTTGTATGTAATAGGTACCACATTTTACTTCGGGAGTTGTTATTCAAAACTTTGTTGTATGGTGACATGCTGTATTTTACTTTGTTATTCCTTTTTCGTTTTCGATGATGTATGTCAAGTCTTTTCTAAAATTGGATCTTGCAACATTATAAAATGCCTTGCCCTGACTGACTGACTTAATGCTTCACAGGCAACTATGTGCGACCTGCTTTGGTGGATCGTTAAGTCAGTCAGCCAGGGTAAGCATTTTATATGTTGGAGAGGTAAAAAGTGTATGTCTTCCCTAAACGATGTAGGCATCAGGACATACGCGGGTTGCAATCAAATTAAAACGTTAATACTGTTTCAGAGTCACCATTGCCAATAAGTTTTAACGAATCTGAAATGAATGAGTTGGCAAATATAATAGATGGAAACATCTTTGACAACTTAGAAGTAGCAACAGATTCTGATACTGCAAATCTTGAGACACCGCACCCTTCCCCTTCTTGTAGTATCAATCACTTGGACTACGACTGTGATAATGATTTCTGCCCATATTATATACAAAAAGAAAATTTATCAGCGTTCGATATTATACCTCAACCCTCACCAGCATGTATTTCTAGCTGCTCGACGTATACAACCATGAACAATAGTCCGCTGTCAGATATTTCGAATAATAGTCCTACCACAAGTGACCGACGCCGTCGTCCATCAAGGAAAGATAAAGGTAATGTAAGAAAAAGACATTATAAAGAATGGATAGATAATAAAAGAAAGTATTTACGTAATTTGGGAAAAGAATATATTTCGAGAAAAGGTAAAATACAAGCAAGCAGAAAGATGGGCCCACCATCTCGCTGCCGCAAGAAATGCTTTGACAAATTAAGCGAAGAACAAAGAAAGAATATTTTTGAGAGTTTTTGGAGCTTAGGCGATCGAGAAAATCAATGGATGTATGTGGTTAACTTAGTAAAAAAGCAAAATAAACGTAGAGTCTATACAGATACAGTTTCAAGACGTAAGTACACGTTTAAATACTTAATACCAGTAGGTCATGACAATGATAATATTAATTATGTGGATGTGTCCAAAAAACCCTTTTTAAGCACTTTGTCTGTCAGTGATCAGGTTATTTATAAGGCTCTAGAAAAGATGGATACGACAACGGGAGTACTAGTCCCAGATAAAAGAGGTAGACATTCAAACCATCCCGTAAAAAAAACAGATTCGGTTATAACCAGTGTGTGTGATCACATCAAGAGCTTGCAGCCGGTTGAGTCACATTATACGAGGCAAAGGTCAAACAAATTATATTTGGATGGAGATTTAAATTTTCTTAAATTATTTGAAATGTACTATGAGTGGCTTCAGGCTAACACACAATATGAAGAGAAAGTTGAAACCGAACGTCAATATCGAGATATTGTAAATGAAAATTTTAAGCTCAGTTTTTACGTGCTTAAGAAAGATCAATGCGATCAATGTCACATTTTTAGAAATATTGACGGTCCTACTGAACAACAAATCGCAGATCATGAAAATCATGTTACAAACAAGAAGTTATCCCGACAAATCATGAAATCTGGTAAAAATGACAGCAAATCTTCACAAGGTAAAATCGTCGCAGCTACTTTTGATTTTCAAAATGTACTATGAAAGATTCTTAATGCACCTCATGGCCAATTGAGTATTTTATATTACAAGCGGAAGTTGTCGGTTTTTAATTTTACTTTGTTTGATCTAGCAAATAAAGAGGGACATTGTTATATGTGGCACGAAGGAGAAGCTAAGCGTGGTTCTAATGAGGTATCAAGCTGTCTTTCTCATTTTATGCAAAAAATGCATGAACAGGGTGCAAAAGAATTCAGATTCTGGTCTGACAATTGTGCTGGTCAGAACCGTAATCGCATTGTTTTTGCGTTTTATGTGTATATTGCTCATAAACTTAACATTACTATAAAACATACCTTTCTCGAAAAACCTTTCATACCCAAGCAGAGGGTGACAGCGTACACGCTTTAATAGAAAGATCATCTAAAAATAAACTTATATATACACCTCTGGGATGGTTTAGCTTGGTTAGATGGGCTAAACAGGATGGAAAATCATATAACGTCATAGAAATGAAGCACACCGATTTTTATAACTTTAAACAACTTTTGGACGGGCGTAATTGATCAAAAAATATAAGTGAAGACGTAGTTAAATGGAACAAAATAAAAGAAATGCGGGTATGTGCAGAAGATCCTTTTAAAATTGAATATCGGTACGATTTGGCAAACAGTAATGCTATGACGATTGCCATTAATACCAATACCCGAAGACGCCAGAGAAATAGTATGGCTGAGCTATGCCCCCTCTATTCCAACCATCTTCCCTTAACAAAGGCAAAATATGATGACTTAATGAGTCTCTGTTATAATGGATTTATTCCAGCCACATATCATGACTTTTTCAAGAGTCTATCTTTTGTTACTGGCTCTCATAATGTTGAATTTTCTGATTCAGAATAGCACTTATAAAAGTCTTTTCTTTTTTAAATTATTTAAATTTCTTTAAATTTCATATTCGTTTTATCATATTTTTATTTTTTCAAAATAATAATAGTTTTCACAGCTCCAATAAAACCAAAAATTTGGTTTGTTTAATTAAAAATAACTCAGCTGTTTTTAATTACTTATGTATAATTTCTAATAAAAAAATATTCCTCTCAAGCCAAGGATAGTTACTATGCCAATAACTATAAATGGTTACCTGATTTCTAGTTATCTTGATTTTAAGTTGATCTCATAGAAATTATTAAGTAAGTTATAATTATGTTTGTTATTTTATGATGATTTTTTATGATTATATTTCTACAATCCTAAGAAGAGTTTGTTATGTTATTAAAATATAATAGAAAGAGTGTGCTATGTTTTCATTTATGTCCTTTTTATTTTGTTTCTAAATAACCTAAGTTTGATAATATTATAAGCTGTTTTTTTAATATTCATTATTTTATTTTTATATCGGTGTTCTCTAAGATTTTAATGCCAATTTATAAATATTAGGTAAGTACTTTTATTGCAATGTTTATAGAAATGTTCCTAAAAATATAATAATAGTAAGTATTTGTGTTGTTCCTATTAAAAAATAAAGAAATTTATCCTCGAACATACGTCTTTTTATTTTTTAACCTAATATTTGTTTACATATATTAATACAAACCGAATATTTTAACCGATGTAAATTGTTATTGCCACATACAGTGGAATGAGACTTATATTTTTCGATGTATATTGTTGTAACTATTATATACAACAACTGACGAAATCTAAACTCCGCGGTATAATATTGTAAGTATGAGATACGACAAATGTCGCAGCCTGTCCTCCGCAGTAAAATGTTATATGAACAATATCTCAGAAAATATACATTTTTTTTTAATTTATCTTTCAACTGTAACCAAGAATACTATAAATTACATTCATATACCAAATTTCACAATAATACAATCATAAATGCAGTTTTTAGTCCAATTTGAATCTTTAAAATGCTCTGTATCGATATATATATATGTATATATATATATATATATATATATATATATATATATATATATATATATATATATATATATATATATATATGGGGTTGTTAACGTCAGGATATTATAATTATTAAAGTAATTTAAAAATAAAACTAAAACAAATTTTTAAATTTAAAAATAAAACAATGCGAATATATTTTTTTGAATGAGAAATACTTTATCAGCGTCTGTGCTGTTACGCCAAAGTACCATACCATAGCGTAGTCAGGCGTCTGCGTATGCGTAGTAGGCACAGGTTGCTGTTTTTAAGTCTGTGGTTTTTTAAGTTCTATAAGAGCGTATGTAAAACTGGATAACTTTTAGACAACTTTATTGATGTGTTCCTTCCAATTTAAATGTACATATATATTTATACCTAGGAGACAGTAAGAGTTAACAGATTCTGTAGGAATATTAGGTATTGGAATATTTAATATGTATGGGGCATTTTTGGTGTGGTCTAAATTGCAAGAGTTTGGTCTTTTTGAAGTTGATCTCGAGGTTGTGATCTTGGAGTCAGCAACTTATTATATTTAAAGTACACGTTAGGAGATGATATAATTCTGTGCTGTTGGGACAGGGAAGAATTAATGAAATATCATCAGCAAAAAGAACACAAGGGATATTATATATATTTGGAAGATCATTTACATATATTAAAACAGCAAACTTCCCAGCACGCTACCGTGGGGTATTGAGTGATTCAAAATTATTTTTTCAGACCTTACAGTCTCAACAATTCCGGTTTTTGGGTCATTGTAGTCTATATCTACATACTGTACAAGTTGATTAAGGTAAGGTACGAACCATTTGTGGGCCAGACCTCTCACACCTATATTATATAGTTTATTTATTAGGATCGAGTGAGAAACCCTATCGTAAGCCTTGCTCATATCTAAAAAATCATCCGTAGCGTTGCTATAATATCCATCCACTTTTTAGATCGTGGCCTTTCATGCCGCGTGCCCTGAGACCGATGAAACTGTAAAAGCCAAAATTCTAACAGTACAAATATTACAGAAATTAAAGGAGACTAGAGAAAAGTGTCAATGTACAAAATAATCCTTGATAAATTTTCTATCAATCCCTTATATATACAAAAGCGATATCACTTATATTTTCCGCGCAATCCGCCACGAAATATGTATATTTGTTTCTATTTATCGATCTTTTTGCTCAAAGTTTAGTTTCCTCAAAAATTTGGGTGGTAAAGTGGTAACGTCTTTCATGTATCGCGCACAATTTTCATGTATCGGGCACGACTATGGCTCATATGGCGACATGATTTGAAGGCAGATTCGCATAGATCTCGACATTATATGCCGAATAGTAGAAATATAATTTAATATACTCAATATATCCCTTTTGACACAGAAATATTGACCCAAATTTACTTCTGCAACTGCTTCGGTGCTGCGGGAAGTGCAGCCCCTTTACCCTTGCGTAGCTAATAGCAGGTACCCATGCTCGTCTCCACAGCTTTGGCTTAATGGTTGCCTTCGGCGAGCAGCCTCAGCTGCTACGGCTCGCACAGGTACCTGCTATTTGTTACAACGGGCGGAGCTGCTCGCCCTCTACGCCTTCGGCTTTACAATAACACTAGGGGTAGGGTAGGCAAGACTGCGTGGAGTCTGGGCGTGCTGATTCGGCGTATCTTGTCGGGATCTATGCAAATTTGCCTTCCATTCGTGGCGCCTGAAGGAACTGTAGACGTGACCCATGTAACGTGTAAGGTTTACTTTAAAATTTAAAACTAAAAAAACACGTTACGGGAAACTTTCTGGGCCGCGTGAGAGTGACGCTAACCTGGCAGGGGGAGGGTAAATGAATAAAATTTAACTTTGCTCTGTAACGTACTTAATATGCCGATAGATAAAAGTACTCCATTAATTTTGCGAATTTTTTTAGCTAAAATGTTTGAACTAACGTCGTTTATAGAAACGTTCACTGTTGGTTTCTCTCGGTTCTCATACGGCTAAGGTTTATGCGTCGTTCGCATTCATTCATCATCATTATCTCTTATACTATGCACTCAAATAACATGCTATAAAAAAGAAAGTTTATATTCATAAAATGGTCTTGATGAGGAAGTATAACTTTTGTTCGTAAGGACTAATTATCCATGCCTAATAATAAACGCTCAATAACTTTATAATTTTCAATAATTTTTGTCACAAAATAACTTATTGTCAAAAAAAGTATACGATATCGCGGACTCTCCTTTAGGGGAGTAATGATCTGTATTTCTCTAGAAAATTGTATTTACGTATCATTAAACATTACGCAAGAGCACGCGGATAAATCGTTTCGGAATCACTTTTTCTTCTGACTTGCTTAACAAAAATCAATATTTAAGGCTAGCTGAGTGGTGTAAGCCTAATGCTAGATAGCTTATACCAATTCTCATGAATTTAGCTATAACATAAAAAAATAATTTTTCAAATCGGACCGGTAGATCCACCGATTGACGTGTATAACAAACAAAATAACAAAAAAAAACTTCGCTGCTTTATTATATTATTAAGTATAAGTATAGATATGAATCGTGTTATTTTATTTTTTACTATATTATTTTATTCATTTTAAGATTTTGTTTTAAAAAAATATCTAGCAGGTAACGCAATCACAATCCGGTACGGTCTGACAGCGCGCGACATGTTATACTCCCGTTCGCTCGGGACCTTAATGGCGGGAAAATTTGTAAATTACCCGGTATAGCATAGTAGTAGTATATAATTCAATTTTAGTGACAAAATTACTACTAATTTGAATTCTACACTTTTATTTTTGGAGAAATTTATATGAAAATGTTTGGAAATATGTATATTTTTATGTTTTATATGTTTCCATTCGTTACTCATACCAAAATATTAAAATATTAAAAAATTAAAAAAAAACAATAATAATATTTTATCTGTGTAACATTTAGAACAATATTTCAAAAATATTTATGTGTGAATTTGAAATAAATACAACGTCAAGTTATTTGAAATATGTAAGAAAACTATTTTTACTTACATTTTACACTAAAAATAAATGAGAATTTGAAAAATAACACATTTATGACCCAACCGCCAAAATGGGCCTTCCAGATTTTGAAGTACTTTTGGAAATTTACTTTTCACTTTTTATACCACAAATTATATATCTACGTGTTCACTGTATTACAAGGAATTTAAAAAAGTATAATAATTTCGTTTTTCTATAAAAAAGACGGAGTACCTTCATCAAAACGACTCGTGGAACGCCGAAAGTTCAGAGTGATTTCTTTTTTTTTTTTTCTAAGAAATATTGCCAGGTTATGGTTTAAAATAAAAGAGCATATCTTTGTCTTTGATACTATTATCTATTGCATAGTGTCTTTGGTTTTGTTTAAAAACAAAAAATAGTTTTTTCATAGGTACACAATTTTACATAATTCTGATCTAATTAGTGCTCTTCTGGAGCGAACCTAAGATAGGTATTGTACGATCTAAAGTGCGCACCGCTTGGCGAACGGGATCCAGCGGCTAACGCAATCACGCGGGATTTTATTTATAAGTGGTTAACAATTTTGTTACTCCATTATATATATCTACCTAGGGTGTGTTTCGTGTCATGAATTGAAGGGTCATTTTAATTTAAATAAAGATAATTATATCTTTTAGAATAACTGAAATCGAACGGTGCCCATTTTTTTAATAAATGCAATCTAAATTACTAAAGCAATTGTTTAAGTAAGGAATTTATAAATTTTTAACCGAAATATAAAAATATATCGGTAAATAAGATAAACAAATACATAATCGTATATTTTATGTAAAACCGACGCAGCCATTACATAAAGAAACACAATAATGTTGAGATACGCTTGTTAATATCTCATAAAACACTGGGTGTAAGATTACTTAGTGAATTAACCACACGTAAGTAAAACGAAATGCTATTTTGATTTGGAACTTATTA